GAAACTTCATCCATGCCAGATTCTTCTACGCGCGTGTGACCTAGACATATTTAGTTTATGTGTGTTTTCGCTTGCGCTTTAATGTCCTTTGTCTTATGTTTGTTTTCGTATTGTCATTGAGCTCCTTGCGAGACGCGTGTTCTATAATTGTGCGGTTCCTCAATTCAACATCGCAACGTATACGCAGCGCTTCAATTGAAGCTTCTGTCAGGAGAGGGTCACGCACGGCAAACCCCACACGAGGTCATGGTTTCAGTGGAGGCGTTGGCGATGGTCAAAAAGCACATGGAGAAATGGCGTATGATCACGAAGTTGACGGAGGTGAAGGTGCACCAGGAGACACCGAATCACCCGAACCAGCTGGTCTTCAAGCCCAAGAAGTAAACTTTTGAGGAATCGGTTGGGAAAAGCTTTGGTAATGCATTGCTGCATGTTTGGTTTTGGAAAAAGGGTTGCTGGTGTGTGTATATTATTACTATTACGACTATTATCGTCTATTGGCCCATGTGTTAACGAAGCGTTGCTCAATAACTTCTACACATTGTTTGCGTAAAAACTGGTGGTTTGGGGCTGAACACGTGATGCAACAGCGCAAGGAACAATTCTTTCATCCTGGGCCGCATTTGTGAATGAGATTGCAAGGCTGCAGTCATACTGATGAGTTTTCCAAGGTGCTAGATCGACCTTTGAAGGAACGTCTGCACAATAGCTCACAAAAGCGTAAAATCACAAAAGGTTCATCCGCGGGTCATGCGGTGGCTGTGCACTGGCGCGCACTGTCGCGTCTCGGCGTGGCAACTGTATATGGCTTTGAATCCGGCTCGTATTGAAGCATCAAGTGCAAATGACTGTTCAACCCATGTTGCATATATATTATTGTATATTTTTGTTTCAATCCTCGACCTGTCGCCTGGCCGGAGGTTGCTCCTGGCGACACTAGAGGATTGAAACCCATGGTGGTAGTTCCACGACGATTATAGTTCCATGACGATTCAACATTCGAAATGCCAGAAAGGAGCTGCTCCTGGCAAATTAGAAGGTTTGATGCACGCTTTATAGAATTAGAAGGTTGACAGAATCAATCGATCTTAAATTGTTCACATTGAATGCGATGCAGTCAGAATCGAGCACTTCAACTTTCCACATACTTCCACTTTTTGTTGGTATATATATATATATGAACGACGTTCAGCGCGCTGAGCTGCGTCGGTATGTGGGGATGGCGAAGAGCGGAGGGACGGCAAAAGCAACTGCAGGTTGCCTGCACTACTTGGAAACAGAGGGTTTGGCCTTCCAGCTAAACATCAAGTGCGTCCACCCCCGTCCTGTCCTGTCCTGGACGACCCCCAGCGCCCGGGCGCGCCGATGTACTATTAGCGCTTCTCCAATACACCTACAAGGCCCTTAGGCCAAAAGAATCCTAAAGAACCTTTACAGGATCTTATATACGCGTCGACACGTTTCAAAATCTCTGCAGGATTCTGGCGGGCGAGCCGGCAGGGTCCATCGGGACGCGACCCTCAACGGGGATTTTGCGTTTTGGACGCGTGGCTCGGCGCAAACGGAGCTGGCGCGACGCTCTTTGGGTGCTCGTTCAAAGGAGGGATCGTTGGGAAACTGTGACGAGACGCGTTTTGTCTGGGCGAATTCTGCGGGGAGCATGCCTTCAATCGCCCAAAACGTTGGTAAATGCATGGCTGGAAATCCGTCCGCACCGAAGGTGCCGAGGCGTTTTTTTAGGGCACGCGCTATACGTAAGCTAGCATATGCAAGCCAATAGCTTTAGATAGGGGGGAGGGGGCATTTTCGCGTTTTTGGAACCGGCTTGAAATGCTGGAAGATGAATTCGTACTATTTTGAAGCCCCTGGTGACGCAAGAAATGCCATTTTCTTCCTTTGCATGATTTGAATCATCTGAGCGGTAAAGTGTAATTGGACTGAGGCCGGACATTTGGCTGAACAGGCTCCCCTAACGTGGCTCAACATAGCTTCCATATTGCCTAACATAGCCCTAGAAGCCACTATCTAACGGACGTGTCTGCGAGATAGGGACTTGAACGCAAAACATGGCACAACGAGGGCTCAAAAGGGACTGGAATAAAGTAAAGAGATTGCCTAACATAGCCCTAGAAGTCACTATCTAAAGGACGTGTCTGCGAGATAGGGACTTGAACGTCGTAAGCATAGCCCAACGAGGGCTCAAAAGGGACTGGAATAAAGCCCCCCCCCAACGTGACCGAACATAGCTTCCATATTGCCTAACATAGCTTTAGAAGTCACTATCTAAAGGATTCACGTCCCTATCTCGCAGACACGTCCTTTAGATAGTGACTTTTAGAGCTATGTTAGGCAACATCTTTACTTTGTTCCAGTCCCTTTTGAGCCCTCGTTAGAAAATGTTACCGTTCCTTATCTCTGCTCCTGTTGAGCCAAATATCCGGCGAACGACTCGAGCTACCTGCGGAAAAGATACACCAATTTGCGACGTTCCCACATTCTAGCGCTATGTTAGGCAATATGGAAGCTATGTTCGGCCACGTTGGGGGGGGGGTGACTTCTGGGGCTATGTTCAATGGAAGTACCTACCTTGACCCGTTCCTGGAGCATGACTGCAGTCTTTGAGCTCTCCCATGCGGTGCGGGCGGTTACCGTCGCGAAGCGACGTGAATAGTTGGATGGGTCGGACACTGCCGTTGAACACGAAGTTCGGGATCCGTTAAACGCGCGGTCTCGGGTTCGAGCCCCCGTGGTGTGGTGTGGGGTGTTCAGTGCTTTGTTACCACACTGTGAAGCTGCTGTCGAAAATGCAGCTGTGTATTGAGGGGCGCATTGATGCAAAATTACGTGCGCGATGTCGCTGGCCGTGCGGCTTGGCGAGGTTCCTTTCAGTGAAAGCCGAACGGAAAACATGCGTGTGTAAACGCGGTACGTCGCTTGCTGGAAATCCACTGAGCCTTCAAAATCCTGCAAGAGTCGCAACCCAGATGAGACCAACACTCTTGTATAGCCAGCTGGCATTGCCTGGTTGAACGGCAGCATTCGACGACCGTATTTGGCACTGGCTGGCGCTCGTCCTTTCCGTGATCAGATCAGACAAAGCGACGAATGTGGATGTTTTCTCGGAGGCTCTAACTTATTGATGAAACTGTGACGACATATTGAGAGGAAGCAAGCCAGCGTGCGACACTGGCTGTGAGAGAGCTGGTCGCCCCACCCCACCACAATTTGGGTGAGGATCCGGGATTGTCAATCCCCTCTTCGGCAGAAAAGACAGTGATAAACTTAGTGGAGCCGATTGGGCCTCTAGCAGGAAGAACCCACGTTCGGGCAATCAATGCAGAAATTTGCGGCTCAATTCCACCCCAGGTGGGGGGAGACTGTGGTGGAGGAGTTGTACTTCGCCAAATTTGGCTGAAGGTGCCGCAGTTGCAAGAAACTGAAGCCAGCGAAGAAGAAGAGAAGCCAAGAAAAAGGAAGTTCATACATACATAGATTGCACAATTAGCGGGAAAACGAAAGAAATCGAGGAGCTTGGCATAGTAGAAATTGTCATCATCCCAAGCCGTCTTGCTGGTCTGTTCCGGTTCCATTGCGGCCAGTAGAGATTCGACGAACAACTAGCACTGAGGCGGAAGCTGGCTTAGAGGGATAGGCAACCAGTTGGTGGGAAGAGTGTATGGGAAATGGCTCGGCCGGCGAAGGCGTTGCGCACCCAGCGAAAGGTTTCAAAAGCAACTTCACAAAAGAGCTGTACCCACAGGCCACTGCACGGTGGACTATGCTGCACGGACTGCCAACCAGGTGTCTACCAAGCTCGTCCTTTTGACCAACGACGTGCAACACTGTTTTGACCTGTAACGTGTGGAATTGCGGAGGGCTTTGCCCGGGATAAGGGACGGCTTAGTTGGTGGTGCTGCGGGCTCTGGCTTGTCAGATCCTGGCACTTGGAAAGAATACTATATACAAGATAGTGCCATCTGCTCTGTGTTCCACTAACTATATGAAACAAATTGTACCAAGCACTGCCTCAAGCAGGTGCGCATGCGACACAGGATGGCCAGAAAGGGAGAACACCTGAACACATCCCTGCAATCTCCAAAACAACTTTCTCACGAGCACACGAGGCGGGTGGTCTCACTAGCGAACAGACCATACCCATGAACCAAAAGACCAACAAGTCCAAGCCTTGCCATGACCGTAGTAAAGACACTACTAGGTGGAGGCCATCGCTACTAGTAACAAGAAGCTACTAGTAGCAAGGCAAAGGTATTTCACTTCAAGCTCCTCCGGCAAAAGAGATTAAAAACTCACGCAACTGGTCTGGGCGATGCTAGCAGCTTCTGTGGGCATGGGGTGCATAGAGCATGCAAATCAGCTTGGACAGTCAGCTGGGCAAATGCAACAACCTTCTAAAGCCGTCTGACACACGCCTGGCGCGTACAACAAGGAATGATAGTCAATAGTTGTCCTGCAAAAGCTATCTTTGAAATGCAAACGCTATGTGTTTTTATACGAAGAATTGAATGTCAAGGCAAAACCGACCTGTAAACTGCGACACTCTTGGTAACTCCAAGCTTAGATTCGGCGCCTCCGGTTGGCTAGTTGATTCAAGAGAAGTTTTGGATTGATTCAAGAAGGGTGAACATCTGTCAAAATAGCCCTGATATGCCCTGGTCAGCTTCTAGTCACTATATAGTCCTTCCATGTCCAAATCACTTAACGAGACATGACGAGACTGACTTCAGGCGTCCATCTGCCGTGCCACGAATTGACCATCTCTACACAACCAGAATAGCTGCCGCGACTCTTTTTGCACGCTTTGATTGCGAAGGTGCATTAACCATTAACGAGGCTTCATTTGTGCCTGTTCTGTGTACAAGCGACCTGGTCTTAGACCAGGGCAATTCTCTATAGCTGAGATCAAGAACGATGACAAAGAAACAGCTATATAGTTATTTAGCCAAATATAAAACCTTATCAATTTGTATATATAGAACTTTGGAAGACCTTTTAACATCTTTGAACCGTCAACATCAGTTGCCGATTAGCATCACCAGGCGCTGAAAGTAAGCTCTTCCTCAGGTGCTGTCTCCACTTCCTCGGTCTGGGCGTTCGCTCCTTTGCTTGGCTACTAAGTTTCCCTAAAAATCTACTGTAGGAACCAAATGATTCGTGCAAGCGCTATCCTGCGTCCTAGGTAGTATAGCTACTTAAGTAGCAGCTACTAGCTACCTAGCTTCTACTAGCTACCTCTAGCTACTACCTCCCTCTACGGCCTACCCCCCAAAAAAAAATGTAAAAAATATATACAGTAAATAAAGCTCTCGCTCCTCAGGGCGTCTTTAACACTCTTCGACTCCGTTGCAACAGCCTACGGCGCCAACGCTGCAATTGTTCTGTTTGCTCCGTTGCTGGGGCCTCCACCGGTGATGCTGAGTGATCTCGCAATGCGTCAGGTTGATCTCGCATACGGAGTTGAGTCGCGAGAGAAAAGACTTTGCCGATCGGTTTGGTAGGATGCACTCCAAAGCCCTTTTGATCCGAACTGACAAATACCACTATTCAACAAATAAGTCAAAACATATGTGATTCCTGTCCCAAGACTCTACAAGAAAAAACACAACTTGGATCAAGGCTTTGTAGGAGCAAAGGAGACTTCATACCTGAGAATCCGTCACTGCGCGACTGCTTTGCTCCATTTTCAGACCTGTTTTAGCCCTGAGTCTGGCACCAATATTGTCCCGAGGAGGTGGAGGGTCAAGATCGCTTCTGGGCCTCTAAGTTTAAAACTAAAAATGCAGGCTCAGGAGGTTGATGTCACTTCATACAACAATATGACTATAATACTCCTGATGTAGGCGTGTTCCACAACGTCTTAAAATGAATGGAAGCTGGACCTGTGATCTTTCAACTCCATTCGTTTCTTTTTCAAGCATTAGCACTGAGAACAAGCACAAAATGGAAATTCCACGAAGCGTTGCAATGTTGCCATGTGCTGTCCAAACTACCAGTCTTGAGTCTCTAGGTTCCAATCTAAGTTCGACCGTGTTGCAGATTTGCAGTGATGGTTATACCTACTGCTGTTTTAAAAGAAACAACGTGACCTCTAAGTGACCAGCGAATGGAGTACCAAAAAGCGCACCGCTCTGCACTTCTTTCGGTGTCCTCAGGATGTCTGGCGCTTGGGGACCAAGCGAGAAAGTCTTGTGCCAAGCTCTGAACGGAGAAAGGCTGATTTTTGTCGCCGCAGCTTTTGAGTGAGTTGAAACCTTACTAGGAACAAGAAGCTACTAGGGGCTCCTGGCCACACTACCCGGAGCAAGGACGCTACTAGGGGCTCCTGGCATCGCAACTAGTAACAAGAAAATACTGGATCCACAAGATTTCCCATCTTCCGCTGTACTTGAAAAGCTGAAACTCTGCTCCCCACTTCAACGGCACAACGACTGTGTTCCCGACCAGCGAAAACCACACTGATGAAAAGCCTGCTCCACCTCTCCATAAATATATTAATATATATTATATTATATATACACATGTTGATCAGAGTGCCGCCCTCATTAAAAGAAATGTGCTTTGCTTGCCTGTGGGTCAACACAAATTCTCCGCTCACCATCTTCTGCGGCAAGCACCGTGACCCGCACACCTAGCAAAGCACAGCTGCAAAAAAATGATTGCAGCAGGCTTCAGAAGAAAATGACACCAACAAAACATAATAACAGGATGTCGAACACTCTCGGTGTGCTTTGGAAAGAATTGGAAAGAACACTATGTGAATGCGAAATGAACGCAAAAACATGTGGGCAAAAGCAAATACAATAAATAGTGTCGGTATGACTGTGACTATTGAGGGATGGACTTTGTACGGGCAAAGTTCCAAATATCAAGCGCTTTGAGTTCAATACTGCTGACCGCAGGGCCTGGAGCAGCAATCCAACTTGACAAACAAAAAGATACAAAAAGAAAACATTCCCAGGAATTGTGCAACCCCCTGCCTCTGGTGACGCCACTGAAAGGTGCAGTATTCGCGCGTAGTGTGATGCATATCCTGAACACAGCACAGTGGACGAAACCAGAACTCGGCCTGACTCAAACATCCTGCCTTGGACAAATTGAAAGCACACCAGCCCAACTGCTGAATCTGCAGAAGGTGTTTCTCCTTCATTGTGAACAACCAACTCAAAAACGAACATGATAATCAATCAACTAAGCTTATGTCCGCACGCCTGGCTTGTGGATCCAAAACAGCTCCAGCTTTCCAACCTCAACGCTGACTGCAACAGTCAGAAGAACATGTGAATGATCACAAGGAACAACAACTCGAGCATCAAGCTCCTGTCTAGCTTGAGTCAGACCGAAGCGAAGCAACACTCCGAAACGGCTAGGGCATGGAGAGGTGCGGGTCACCAACCCCTTGAAGACTTTTGAAGCCTTTGGTGGATTGGTCTCTTGAAGGGAGCCAGAGAAAGAGCATAGACAGACAGCGGTCGACAGGGTGGAGACGGGAGCTTTCAGACAAAGAAGCAGGAGAACCTAGGCAAACATGAGTCCACCCTCGGTCCAAAAGGAGTTCACACCCCCGGCGAACAAGGAGAACACTCCGTCTCTTGCTCCGAGGCTGCTCAAGAAAAGTTTGACGACACCAAGATATGCGAAGTCGAGCATGGTCAAACATTTCGGGCTGGCAGGGCGCCAACCAACGTCAAGCAAGTCATACCCAGAAGGTTTGAGTAAGACCTTGAAGCGGGAGTTGCACAGGCGAGAACGTGGTGCAAGATCATCTGCAAGACCCAATCTAGCAGTTTAACTTTACTGTAACTGTAATTGTTTTGACATGAGTACACTAATAGGCCCAGGTCTGCCACTGCCTTTGCGAGAACTGGAAACACAGGTCTCAACAAAGCCGAATTTTATTCAAGAAAGGTCGAAAAAAGTAAAAAGACCTTTCTCCTCCTCAGCCAATGAAAATAATGAAGGTACTTCAGTAGACCAGTCCAAAGTAGTGTATGTTCCTCTCTGTCACCATAGGGTTTCGCTCAAGCTCGCCAACACTGCGAGCATTCACAGTTCCCCGATTGAGGGACGCATCTACAGCGAAGGTCTCAGAGGCATAGGGCACGGAAATGTCAGTAAGTGCAATGATGCTTCTAGGACTGGCTAACGCCAACTCTTCTGCAAGAGAGCGTGAAAGGTAAAGACCTTCTGAACATAAGTATAGATATCCACTGGCCAGCTAATCTAGAAAGTTTGTCGCTGTGAGATGACCAGTAGAGCAGCAGTCTCAAGCTACAGACTTGAGGCCAGTGCGGAGGAAAGCTAGCGAGGAATGGTTCGGGATATGATTCTAACGCTAATAGTGCACGCTGTGTCTTGCAGTTACCAGGTATCAAAATCAATATATGAAAAATGCAATGATGCATGTGCATTTGGAGGATGTTATTCTCTGCGTGTGCAGTGTGTGCATGGTACGTGGTTAAAATACTGCTTGTTGGGATCCTACCATATCAACCAACGCCAGAACCCCTCCGTCATGGAGTTTCAAAACTGACTGCCCGATGTTTCTCGTGTCTGAATCCCCTTCCACCTAGGAACGTACAGTGACAGCCAAGTTCGACAGTCAAGTAGGGTTCCTGCAGGGTGTTGCTGCGCCGGGCGCGTTTTCGAGAGATGTCTATGGCTGTGCGCAGGGTGCTGTTGCCAGATGCTGATGGCAGCGCGCGGTTTGGAGCCTCTATGGTCGTGGGGCTGCTATGGGTGCTGCCCACAAGTATTTTTTGCTATCTGGGATTGCGTAATTGAACCAGGAACATTCTATCTGGCAAGTTCTCGAGTTCTATCTGGCAGGTCCGCGGTGCGGCGATCGCTCACGGTTGAGGTCTGGTGGCGCCCACTGTGATCTGGCGTTTTCGCTGTAGAGGGTGACGCGGAGGATGAGGAGGGACGGGCGGACAGGATCTGATAAAATCCAACAACCCTCACCCGGGTGAGTGGGAAAAACTACTCACTTGCCCCAAGGTAAATCTGGGCCCAAAAGCTACAAGTCAAACAGGTATTCTGAACCTGCCGGGATGATACCCAATGAATATGTTGGGTTTGCGCGGGATTGACGACAGGTCCCGAACTTCACTTCTCCCAGAAGTGAATTGGGAGATACAGGGAGTACATTCACCTCTGGAGCCAAACACAGTTTGAATAAGGCAGTTGCAGTCGAGAGAAATACCATGCCTTACATCAGTGCACCCATTCTCAATGCTTTACATCTGTCTTCGAAGCACGTTTCGCCATAAGTGTTGCAAGCAGAGGGAGGTTAAGAAAATCCAACTTATGGTTCCTCAAAGCTGGCTTCTTGAAAGGGATTGCCAAGGACCCTAACCAAACTGCCCAAGGGATGCTCCGCTGCACAGCTTTGCAACTTGTCCTGAAGATTTCGGGTCACTCACAGGAGAAAATACATTTGCATGAGATCGACCGGCAACACATCTCCAACCATTCGTGTCCCAATTGGTCTCCACTGCAGCCGCCACATGATCTGGAAGGCGCTTCACATACCGCTCAAAAATTTGATGCGGCTGCTCCTGGCACGTGTTTGCAACATGCTTGCTGGTGGATAGCGCGCGCGTGCTGCTGTTGCTGCTGCTGCAGCAGGAGGAGGAGGAGGAGTGGTAGGGGTAGTGGTAGTGGCAGTGGCCGTGGCAGTGGTAGTGGTAGGGGTAGGGGTAGGGGTAGGGGTAGCGGTAGCGGTAGTGGTAGTAGTGGTAGCAATAGTTGTAGTAGTTCTAGATTCATAGTCGAGTCCTAGTTGCAGTCGTAGTCGGAGTCCTAGTTGTAGTAGTGGTAGTGGTGGGGGTAGGGGTAGTTGTGGCACTGTCTTAGAAGTCTCCGGGGTCATTGTTTTCATCGGTCTCTGTCCCATTGCCACAGTTTCGCCCAGCGCTCCGAAACCAAAGGTGAGAGCTGAAGCTCGATCTCACAGCAGTCGGGCACCTCCGCTGATTCACATAGAACTGGAAACCTCATGAAAATCCTGCATGTTTGATATATCTTTGGTCTTTTCGTGCATAGTTACTTCCTCAAATCGCGTAACGGGTTGGTCTGAGGGCTTGCTATTTAAAGGTTTCAATCTTGGGCAAGAATGTGACTTTTGACTGGTTTAGTACTCTGAGCATCTAATTCAAGGTTCTGAATCTACTCTGGCAATCAAACGGCCGGACCTCTTCAGCAGGTCTGCCAGCTCCATCCTAGCAAAGCGGTCCATTCGATTACTGCGAAAATCAAAAGCACCTGACACAAAACAGGAAGAGGATCAAAAGCTGGTGTAATCAGCATCCTGTGCGACCCTAAGCCAGCCATGCCTCGCTAGATTCAGAGAGTGCGTCAGGTGGTCTTTGACGTTCCAATGCCTTCCAACTAATGCGTCACAAGAGTGCAACCCAATGAACTTCCAACCAAGAAGCTAAGCAAGCTCGGAACAAACGTGCCTCCACGCAAGCACCTCCAGAGTTCACCGAAAAACGCGGAAAAGCATCCTGGTGCTTAGACTGAAGAAATTCACAAAACGAGAAATTGACAATGTCATGTCATACCAAGTGGTACAGAATCTTCGAGCATCCTACTCTTTGGAGTCCATGCAAACACCTTTTGGAGGTTTGGGGAGCGCATGTTCAGCTTTGGATTTGACATGCTTTAACATTGTTGCCTTTTGTTTTTTCCACGCTAACAGCACATGCTCAGTTTTGTCTGAAGATCTTCCCTATGAGCCACGACACTTGCGGCTGCAGTTCCATGCTGCGGATACACTGGCAGGGATTATGTTGCGCTGGAATGGAAAACATGTTGCAGGCAGCTCGATTCCATAGCTCTAAGGTGCCCGTTGGTTTTTGTTTTAGGCCTTATTTTGCAGCCAGCACTATTGACCTCTGACACACGGCATGACAGTTGCACTGCAGGCGTCAAGAGAAAATAATTACTGTAATGGAGTTGCACTGAAAACCACAAGGAAAGCGTTGTTGCCAATCCAAAGGATCCTAAGTGTTTTGCCATTCCAAATTCCAATCTCACTTATATACAAGAGCGACACAACTATTGGCTGGTGACACAATGCCCGACCACCGAACTTCAATGAAATTCGGCTGAAATAACCCCCAAAGACTTGTAGTTACTAAAGGTGGCCGACCATACGAGCTTGCTCATCATTCGGCATTTAAACTACAGTACTTCAGACTTTGTGTACTCTCTACCCTTAAACTTGGCATTGATTGTTCAGACAAAAACTATCAATGACCAAGTCCAAGCGATAGCTGAAACTGCGAGAGGTTCGACTGCCATCCTTTGATTCTTGGGAGGGTGCTACATGCGAAATCGCGATGAAAGGCATTGAAAAAGGACAAAGTTGTAGCTCTTAACGAACTGCCTTCTCGGCAAGCAAAAAATATGAACACCGGAGTTGCAAGCGCCTGTCTTGTCACCACTTGGTTTCTTTTGCACCTTGCAAACTTTATGAACAAAGTATCTGCGAGACTGCAAGAAACTGCGAGATTGGGGGCCCTTGGACCGATGGCCTCCAGCAAGCGCTCGCAGGGTCCTGTGAAGAAACAATGACCTTACGATGTTTCAATGATATTCAACGGCATGAACCGCGTGAATTAGAGCTCAAGAAAACAAATAAACAGCCTCAACACCTCTCCTCGAGAGGCTTTGATCAAGAGTTGTGAGTCGCCTCAAATTCTCAACGCAACCAACCAGAAGTAAAGCCTCAATCATATCTCGGTTTTCTTGTCCTCATATGTATGTATATATACAATTGTATACGATCACGCACGCTCACGAATGCACACCCAACCCCTCGTTTTCTCTCCTGCCTTCGTTTCTCTCTATTGGTTTTTTTCCTTCTAAAGGCTTTTTAGGTTTGTAACCAGATTCTTCAGTCAAGTGCCCCCCATTTTTCCCCACCGTGCACCGAATTCGGCATTGTGTGTGTGTGTCCCACTCTGTCTCTAAGAGTTTTCCACCATGTCAGCAGGGGGGCAAGGCCTCCAGCGATGAACCTTGTCCAGTGAAGCTAAATCGCTAGAGGGGAAGCAAATGGAGACGTCCATTCGTGCACCTGCAACCGGAACGTTTGACCACGCTGTGACTCCACTTTTTCACTTTTTGATTTCCGGTTCTTGCATGATACTTTCCCCCCTTTCTTCCAGCTGAGCCGCGCTGACGTTTGCCACCGCCGTTTTCGTGAGCTGCAGATGTGCGCAAACCATTATTGAAACACTTCCAAGTGCTTGGACGCTTCACCTTTCCGTTGAACCATTCCTCTCCTCGTGGAACAGATGTAACTGCAAACCCATTATCTAAGTGTGTCACCCTCTGTTTCGAAGAGTTCTACGTGGTCTCCACTTCAATCAAGCAGGGGGCAATAGCCCACTCATGAGTCTACTGCCAACGAAGCTGCTCATGAGTTGGGAGGATATCGGAGCTGATCACTCCGACGTACCTGCAACCGAAACTTTTGGCCAAGCTTTTCCATTCCTCGGTTTTGCTTCCATGGTGGTTATGCACGCTACACCCCAAAACAGGTTTCCCTCCGCATTGCAGCTGCTGATCGCCGCTGTCGCTGAGCGCTTTTGCAACATCTGTTAAACTGTTAAACGTTTAAACATTCTGTGGATCGCGGACTCTGCCACCTTTCCGTTCCATCGTTCCTTTTTCTCGTGGAACTGAGTTAACAGAAAACCCTATGACTAAGTGCGCGCTGCCCGTCGTTCCACTGGGTGCAGGGCGTGATCTCCCGCAAGGGAGCGCTGAAACCATTGGGAGTCACATATTGGTTCGACAGATTTGCATTCGTGAATCAGGTTTAGTGGCTCTTTTCTGTCTCACCCATGAATCTTCTGACCCCAATGCTGCCGAGCTTCCTTCAGCCACCAATCCCCTCCCTCAAGGACGACGTCCCGGAGGGATGGTCCATCCCTGCCATCAATTCCTGGCTTTCCACCTTCGATGAAGCCATTCAAGAGTCGGCCAAAGAAATCGTCCGTCTTCTCCAAACAAGCAAATGCACTCAAGAGCAACTCCGGGAAGCTGGCACTCGCTACGGACTCCCTTTGACCAAGCTGAACAAGCGCCCCCTCAAGACACTGCGAAACCTGGTCAGTGTAGGGGCTGCCCTTGCCTGCTGGCTGAGCCACGTTGCTCAGCATTCTCCACACACCGCCAACGCGCAACAACTTTTTCGGCTACACAGAGCCCTTTCCATCCTCATACACCGCGCAACCTACATCGAACGAGCCGATGCCATTTTTGCCACCTACTCCATCTCACTTTACTTTTCACCTACCCCTCCAACACCCAACGCTGTGTTGGAGTTGTTTAAGCTTGGCTCGTCTATTATGTTCCCGGCGTGGCATGCCAATAGCTGTGGAGCCAATGTAGAAATGGCCATGTTGGTGATAGCGTCGATGTGGTGGTTGGATGTTGAAATAGAGTTTCACGTAGACAGAGTTGGGGGAGAGGAAGCGGTGGTAATGGTAAGTGTGCGGCAGCGCATGGAGCTGGTGAAGGCGCTTTCGCCGTTGCTGAGAGCGGCTGGCAGTTCACCAAACACAGAGCACCCTCCTTCTCCCGCCTTGCCACCCACAAGCGACTTTTCCGACGTCTCAGACGACGCCAGCAAACCATCAATGAACCACGCCTCTTCACTTCCACCAAACACCATGCCCTCACTCTCTTGCGCAACCTGACCAAACACACAGCCGACTCGTTTGAAGCAGCCAAGCAACTACGCAGCGGCCGTCACACTCACCGTGAACTTTACGCCATTCGCCGCACGGCTGCCAACCTGGAGGGACCAGGTCGCACCAAAGCATTGCAGATCATCCACAAGGCCACGCACTATCGCAATCTCACTCCACCCCGCGCCAACGTTCCCCTCACAATTCCTTTCTTGGCCCATGACAACACGGAAACTCAGCAATGGCTACGTACTCTCATCCAGCACCACAAAGCCCTTGCCATTCCCCTTCACCTTCCTACACGTCGACTCCAAAAAGCTGCTCACAAGACACTATGCGGCCACTCCACAATCACCGCAAATGGGAGGGCAGCACACTCACTCCAGCAGATCCACTTCACCTCCCTGCGCACGTGAGCACTTCTCATCGATCCAGATCATCCCAAAAGCACTACATCCTCACCCTTGATCACCTCCAGCTCCCCCCCCACCTTCGCATCTTCCTTAACGCCAATATGAACAGCACCTTTTACCCTACCAAAGCAAGGTACTACCTAGCTTTCCAAACAGCCTTTCGCAAATGGCTCCGCACTCAAGGATTTCCACCATCCCCTCTCCAACACGCTGAATCCTTCTCCATCACCAATGGCAACTCCACCTCTCTCACCTCAAACAACAGCCACACTTCAGAGCTCGCTTGCTTCGGCAGTTGCAGGAGTATCTCGGCGACCAAGTGGTCCGCACCACGCCGATCATGAGCTGCAACAGCTTCGCATCTTTTGTCCCCAGCAATATTTCCGCAGCGCCCTCGACACCTCGCCAGCGCCTGCACTTTTCCAACCACTACCCCGCCTCACTCCACTCAACATCAACCAACAACCACCTGTTGGCTACAGTTCCCACCTCCGGAACCGCTACAAATGGGGATTCTGCAAGGAGTTCACCATCCTGTACAGGATTGTACACTTGAAGGAGAAGGAACCATCATCTCCTACTACCACTCCCTCGCAGGCAACCTTCTCCGCATCACTAGCAGAGCACTGGACATCATTCTGCAACACCTTTACCGCGACAGCTCTCCATACCTGAGTTACGACAACGCTTTCACACCTATCTCACCCAAGTCCCTATGGACATCACCCTCCACGCAACCAACGATGACCTTGTTGGCTTCTTCAATTCGGTCCCCCAGCACCGCCTCATCGGCGCGGTCCACAGCTTGGCCCAGCGCTGGCAACAACAACAATCAACTCACACCATCGACGCCCAAGCTACAGGCAATCCGTATCATCACTCCCACATTGGACGCCATCACCACAGGCATCCGACACAAGGCGCCCTCCACACAGCAGACATCATAACCATTGCGGCCTTTGCACTCAACACATGTATTTTCCGAACATGCAACCATACGTACCAGCAGATCCGCAGCACCGGGATTGGCTCCCAGCCGTCACCAGCCCTGTGCAATGTGGCTATCACCCTTGTCGAACACTCCTGGCAACAACTCCACAACAGCCTCCTGCATCACACCCATTTCCACTTCAACTACTACCGCTACGTGGACCATCGTTTCATCACACACAACGAGCATTTCCTCTCACATCCAGCTGTCCAGACCCTCATTCACCGCGACTTGTGCGGCGACTCCGTGGCACTTGAGACTGTTGAAGATTACCACCTCCTGGAGTTCAACATTGTATCTCACCCAACGTACAATTACCTACATCCAACCCGCCCAATCCTGGAAAATCCGGGGTGCCACCAGTGCCAAACGACTCACACTCTCCGGCCTTGCTTCACGACTACACACCATTTAGGCCTACACTTTCCCAACAACAGCGGCAGACGTAGCAGCTGAACAGCTTGTCCGCCTCTATGTCCAAAAAGGACATGCAGCATCAGACGCGAACGGTTTTTGAAGCGACCAAAAAAGACTGCTCTCGTTCTTCGGAGCGCCGCAGAGAGGCTCTGTGTGTGTGTCACCCTCTGCTTCGAAGAGTTCTACGTGGTCTCCACTTCAATCAAGCAGGAAGCAGTAGCCCACTCATGAGTCTACTGCCAACGAAGCTGCTCATGAGTTGGGAGGATATCGGAGCTGATCACTCCGACGTACCTGCAACCAAAACTTTTGGCCAAGCTTTTCCATTCCTCGGTTTTGCTTCCATGGTGGTTACGCACGCTATACCCCAAAACAGGTTTCCCTCCACATTGCAGCTGCTGATCGCCGCTGTCGTTGAGCGCTTTTGCAACATCTGTTAAACATTCTGTTGATCGCAGACTCTGCCACCTTTCCGTTCCATCATTCCCTTTTCTCGTGGAACTGAGTTAACAGAAAACCCCATGACTAAGTGTGTGTCAACTCCTGTTTCCAAGGAGCTCTGTCACGCGCTCTTTTTATATTTAGTTGACTGTTCACCTAGCCGCGCTAACAAAGCTATGGTGTTCAGTTGGATGAAATGCTGGACGCAGTATCTTGTACCTGCGGTGGTGCACTTGGGCGCACTACACATTCCCACCCTCAGCGGCCGCTGCAGCTGTGAGTGACCTGATCAAGTTGTACATTCCAAACGGACACCCGCCAAGCGACTCCAAGCATTTTGCTCGGACCCAAAAGCGCAGCGGATTTCCTGCTGTGCGCAGATTAACGGCCTGCTGCGCGTGTGTGTGTGTGTGTCAACCCCTGTGCCGAAGGGTTCGCCACCACCTTCACAATCACCACTGTTTCACAAGCAGGGGCGTCAGGCTCGACACACCTACCTGACGCAACGAAGCTATGGTGTGTCGAGGGAAGCAGTCAGAGACGTCTGACTGTGTACCTGCCGAACTGTTCACAAGCCGTTACTCCAATCTTCCTCTTTTTTTGCTTCCATGGTTGTTCATGATACCTCCCACAAACAGGTTTTCCCACGGCCGCCTTTCAGCTGCCGTTCGCCGTTCGTCCGCTGCTGTCGCGAGTCTGCAGATGCGCACAAACCTTTTGTTGAAAACAC